GAGCGAGAGAGAGAGTTGAAAAGGGATATTGTGCGTGCCATTCAAATGCTGTTTACCGTTGTCCTCGCTGTCAAGTCTTTGTTATTTCAGAGATCGATGTAAAGTCAACAATTGACAGTTATGAAAACAGATGACAATAATGATGATTCGCTTGTTGTCATTGCTCTTTATTACTGTTTTTACGCCTTCCCAATGCCCCGGCACGCGTCCAAATCTTTGCCTTTGCAGACCAAGCTTAGGGCAGAGCATTGAACCTGACTCATTTGCTTCACAGCGCCGCAGCTTCGGAAGCGAGACAATAACAGAATCTTCCCACACTGCAGCCACAATTGCACTTGACTGTCCCTCCCGATCGCAACGCCCCCCAAATACCCCGCCCCCTTCACATGTGTATTAGAAACAAAAATTTGACATTTGCCTGCACTTAACTGTCACATAAAGTGTTAAATGAAATGAGCAGAAGCAGCCACAAAAACGCGTCGCGCCGACTGCAGCAACACTTGAGATTGAGAGTGCGACCCCAATTGTAAACCACCAAGCACCAAGCACCACCACCACTAATACACACACACACATACTCACACAGAGTCCACTCCACTCCACTAGCATAACATATAGAACGCCAAGTATTTATGCTGTCATTACATTTCGGCTCGGTTCGGTTTCGGGTTATACAACATACCCTAGAAAATAAAGTTGACTAAGAGGGTATTTTCAATTTGTATCTGTATCTGTATCTGTATCTGTATCTGTATCTGTATCTGTATCTGTATCTGTATCTGTATCTGTATCTGTATCTGTATCTGTATCTGTATCTGTATCTGTATCTGTATCTGTATCTGTATCTGTATCTGTATCTGTATCTGTATCTGTATCTGTATCTGTATCTGTATCTGTATCTGTATCTGTATCTGTATCTGTATCTGTATCTGTATCTGTATCTGTATCTGTATCTGTATCTGTATCTGTATCTGTATCTGTATCTGTATCTGTATCTGTATCTGTATCTGTATCTGTATCTGTATCTGTATCTGTATCTGTATCTGTATCTGTATCTGTATCTGTATCTGTATCTGTATCTGTATCTGTATCTGTATCTGTATCTGTATCTGTATCTGTATCTGTATCTGTATCTGTATCTGTATCTGTATCTGTATCTGTATCTGTATCTGTATCTGTATCTGTATCTGTATCTGTATCTGTATCTGTATCTGTATCTGTATCTGTATCTGTATCTGTATCTGTATCTGTATCTGTATCTGTATCTGTATCTGTATCTGTATCTGTATCTGTATCTGTATCTGTATCTGTATCTGTATCTGTATCTGTATCTGTATCTGTACCTGTATCTGTGTCTGTAATTTATTGAAATAAACTACAGGGCATCATTCAGTCGTGCATACTCGCCTAGCCCAAGCTGACTTCTTTTGTTTTTGGTTAAATGCCGCGCTAAAGTTTACTGCTAATTAAAAATTGTAGAAACGAGAAACATGCATGCAATTCAATACCCCGAAATCCAAACACCCGCAATTGAAATCGTTGAGATGAAGATATATATATAAATATATATATGTGAGGAACACATATATGTATTTATATATATACATACACACATATAGGATCCGCTCTTTACGCGTAATGTGTGAAAAACGAAAGCAACCGTCGAGCCCTTATGCTGGGGTCACCTCTTCGAAAAGGATTGGAATTGTTTTTCCCACCGAAATTTTGATCGAAGCCCCTGCGAGTGGCAGATCGCTGGGTCGAATGGAGATGGAGATGGGGGTTATTGTGAGAGCTGCTCACTTTTAGGTTATCCGTAATTATAAAGTGAAATAAATTGATTGCTTAACGGCAAAGTTAATGACAGCCAGCGTCGGCTTCCTTCCCATCTTAACGCCAGCAATGTGATGCGATGACGCCAGCGAGCAGAAAATTGTATTGAAGTACGAGAAACACTCGCATTATCGCACTTTTATGTGGGACCCGCAGCAGCAGCAGATGACGACGGCGGCGGCGGCGGCGACGACTCTTCATTTGGCACGGCATGAAACTGCAATTGCAATTGAAATTGCATTGAGCACACATCGATCGACAAATCCAATTTAAATTAAGAACACTCAACAGTGTAGGTACCCAAAACCAAGCAAAGTGGGTCTGTGGGACTCTGAAGTCATTCTCACGGTGCTCTCGAGTGCCCACTGTAGTGGGCAGTGGGTGTGCCGCGCTGACTCTGCCTCTGGGAACAATATATGCATACTAATGCGGGATAAACCACCAAGAGAGCCAACTACCATTTTCATAGATGTATGTAGCGGTATTATATATGTATATAATTTAGATAAGGGCATTTTTAATGGGATTTACTTTAAGTTACTTATTTGAGATAACTGCCAAATCTCAATCCGAAGTTGAGCTTAAAAAAATCCCATTTATAACAATTTTATATGATTAATGCAATCATTTCTTCGAAAGTGTGTTTTTTTTATATATACATATACATATACATATATATATATATATATATAACGATGGCTTGTCATGCTTTTTTTTTTTTTTTTTTTACATTTAGTCAGTCATTATGTTATTTAGTAAGAATATTAAGTAAAGCTGAATGTACATTTTAATAGTTTATAGTTAATATATAAATAAAATATAATTTTATGGGCTTGAAAAACTTATTAAAGCAAAAAAATAGAAAATAATTAAATTATCTACAAAAAAATAAAAATAGAAATACTTATATAAAAAAAAAAAGATGAAAATATATATATAAAGTAATAGATTAGGTATAAAACAAATTCATAGAGAATCATTTTTTATTTTAATAAAATTAAAAGGAATATATATTAATATTTAGATAAATTTTATATTTCATGTTTTAGTGTTTCTTATTTATCAATTTAATGAACATTTGCTTTTTTTATAAATTGTTTACAAAATATTTGCATAAATTTTATATTTTACATACTAAAACAAATAAAAATGAGACATATAATCGTATATTTTCATGATTTTCATTATTTATTTCGAGCAATGAATAATAGAATAAAAGTATTATTTATATTTTTTATTTTATTTTTCCTTATAATTTTCAGCTAATTTTACGTAATAAGCTAAATTTTAAATTTAAAATTAGAAAACTTTTCCCAATTGGTGTTTGCCTGTTCTTGTTCGCTCATAATAAACGGTAAAGGCCATATTCCCCATTGGCATGCAATGGCCGCCTACAGTTGGCAGTCGGCAGTCGGCAGCCAATGGGGCGGCAACAGGTGCAAAGCGACCAATGCCAAATGAGCAGAGCCAGCGGCAGCTCACCTAGCCTACAGCAGAGACACCTCGCTCATTAGCACACCCACGCGAGCGCGCACACACACACACAAACACACGCACACGGTGAGTAAAGAGCAAGAACTAATTAACATACAAAATGAATGCGGCGGGAGAAGCAACACGAAAAAAAATATATAAAAACCGCTAAACGGCCGTTCGCTATGCTCACTCTCTTTTTTGTTACTCGTTCTCGCGCGTTGACGTCGACGTTGACGTCAGCGTCGCCGTTGGCTTCAAGTGAGAAAATTATTGAAGCTCCACCTTTTTACACACACACACACACACACACAATCAGCTGCGGTTGCCAGTGAGAAATGCATATGTTTAACTATGTGTGAGTGTGTCTGTATGTGTGTGTGTGTGTGGGGTGGGGGTAGGTAGAACACATGTTAACCGCATTAAAAATTAATGTACAAATTGTTTATTATGTTGTTGAGTTTGCTTTTTTCGCCGTCGGGCCCACACATATACACATGTATATCTGCGTTTGCATGCCTATGTATATATGTGTATATGTGTGTTTGTTGAGTTTTGATGGCTTTTGACTACGCAATCATTGCAAACAGCTTCAGGATTTATTTTATTTTTCATCTTTTGCCTTTGATTTCTTTGGCGGGCTTCAACTTGTTGATTGAGAGTCGAAAAGCATTTTTTATTCTTTTTCGTTTCTATTTCTTTTGAATCTCTTGCCCAAGTGCTGTTGTTGCTGTTACTGTTGCTGTTGTTATTATTTTTATTGCCCGCTTGCATAGCTGTTGTGCGTGATGGACATTCTCAAGAACTTTTGCTTCTTGTCAACGTCAACAAAATGTCAAATGTGTTGCAATCCCGAAAAAAGCGAAAAGTGGCCAGGCACATGATGTATTTAAGCTGGAAACTCTAACGCACAAAAACTTGCATATACAAAAAATAGAGAATCTTAAGTGCAAATGATTTTTGCTCCAATGATAAGTCAAATATGGCCAATTCCCTAGAAATTCAGATTTTGTGTAATCGAGATACAAAGGAATTAAAATCAAAACGTATAAACAGTAAATGAAGTATTAACACACATTGCTTACATCCACTCCAGAATGTTAAGTTTAACATTTTCCCCTTAGGCGAATATCGTAACGTAACAGCATACGATAAAGCACACAGTCTCTGGCATTAACATTAACAGTAACAGAGGCCAAACAGTGATTCGCTCTCTCCAATTGGAGAGCGTCGCACTACCAATACCCCCGCACTTACACACACACTCACACATACACCGCAAAGCAGTAAATGGGGGCGGGGGTGTGTTGTCATATCACCTCGGCAGCGCGCTGCCGCCACGCACACAGCCAAAGACACACACTATCAACAAACGGTGCGCCGTTACACGTTGTCGTCGTTCTGTTATATGGCCGCTGCCTGTTATTGGTGTATGGGTGACACACACAAACACACACACAGAGCTACGTTAAACTATCACATAATAAATGTGCTCGTTGCTCTCTCGCTCAGTCGCTCTCGCGTTCGGCTGTTCGCTCTCGCTTTGTGCCGAGCACAAATATACTGAGGCACCCTTACACACACACACACACACTGGCAGGCAGAGATGTTGTATCTGATATTGTGAAGCAGAAACTGAAGCTGAGGCAGCCCAACGTAGAAAACAGAAATGAACAGAAACCGTTAGTTGTATTCTAGACGTCGCGTCGGCCGCACACGCGCTGCTCCCCCACAGCGCTCAGAAGCCAACGCATTGGAAAAACAATTGTAGAAATTGCCGAGTCGAAAAACAAAAAGCAAAAAAAAAGTATCTCAATCTCAACGCGCAGTGTGCACCGAACCACATTCGAAATTCAAAAACACAAATAGTGCCCAAATCAAATAAAATCAAACAAAAATAATGTTTTCAATCGGAATATAGCACAACAAATAAATACAAAGAAAAATAATTTTTTAAAATCAAGCTGCTCCAATGGCCGCTACATGTGTGTGCTTAAGCAAACCTTTCTAATCGAACCCAGATCCAAAACACTTGACAACAAAAGTTACCAATCGAACCGTAATTAAAACAAAATACACCAAACTTGTGGAACACAGAAAGTGCAACAAAAAACAACAACAACGACAACAATAACAGCAACAAAAAGCATTCCAATGTTGTCCTGTTTGGCGCCATCGTCTACACGTTTTGGCCAAGAGGATAACATTATACAGCAGAGCATGCCATCGTCCACAGCCTTCTCCATGCAGTGTAAGTCCAAGCCAAGCCAAGATCGCAAAAAAAAAGAAAAAAGAAAAAAAAACACTGTAGAATCTTGCGATGAATCATCTCCATCTCAATTGTCTAGAAATTCATTTTGCATTATCAGCGCGATGCAATTGAACTTTGTCTGAGTGTGAATACGCTGTGTGTGTGTGTGTGCTCCAATTCATTCAACTTTTGCAAAACGCGCCAAAAGCCAATCAAATCTATGCCAACCAAGCGCTGCTGCTGCTCAGTGTCAATGTCAAAACATTTCCAATGAATCGCCGCCATTTTTCAGCAACTGTGTGGTCCCCCAAACTGAAATTCACCTTAAACGAGTAAGCGACACAGCAAAAATATAAGTAAATAACAATAAAACAGAGAGAGAGAGAGAGAGAGAGAGAGAGAGCGAGAGCGATCATATTTCCTTGCGCTTTGCCTCCTACGCCAAGGCAGCTCAAGCGCTTGCTGCCTGAGCTCATCGAGCCCGATCGCTCCTTCAGCACAGTCGAGCGACCACAAGCGAAGCGCTGGCTATGCAGGCGCTGTTTAATCACCTCCCAGCTACAGTCTTGAAAATAAACACCTATGAACGACACACACACATACACACACGCGCGCGAGGCAAGAAAAAAAGGGTTACAGCTAAAAAATATTGAATTGTTATGCAGAATTCGAAATGCTCTGATCGGCATATTGAAAAGATTTCAAATGAAAGCCAATTGTATTTCTTCACATTATAAGTATAAGAAATCTGATTTATATGTTCATTTGTTTTATTTCTTATAAATGCTTAAAGATAATTGCTAAATACTTTTCCAGTTCAGTGAGTTGGAATATGAATATAGAAGATATGAATGAAAATAGTTAACGAGACCTACGAGTTGAAAGGGAAACTAATTGTTTTATACATTGTATCATTAGCAATATTAATGTATTAAATATAATAATAGTTAATATTATAAAAAATATTATTAGCTATTGGATGACTAATATGCTAGAGAGCTAAAGCAAATTGAACTAATTGAACGGGAACTGAGAGAAAGCAATGGGTTTATTATTTATCTTATCTCATTATATTACTAATAATGTATTAAAATAATATTATCATCTTTATAAATCGTATAAAATTATATTGATTTATAAAAACATTTAACAGTATTAGTAAATTTTTTGAATTGAATACAAAAATAATAGCTTAATTTTTTATTTTTATCTCATTCACTAATTATATAGTTTATTATACCATAATATAATATTATGCCTTTCTAATTATTGTATTCCAACAATAATTATTTTAAACTACAATTAGGTATTTGAATATATTTTTAGATATGAAAAACCAATCCTTGAAATTAAATCTTTTATTTACATTTGTTTTATTTGTTAAACAACTTTTTATACATTAAGTATTATTTAATTGTATTGTAATTACATTGGGGGTCAAAAGTGGAACGCTGCCTTATAGAGGGTCTTACATAAACTTTGCAGCTGCATCGTGTAGAATTCATTTATCTTTTATGTCTTTATAATTTCATCAACTATATCTCTCTTTTGTTGAATTAATATAGTTAATACATGCAAAATAAAAATAACTGTTACGCAAAATTTTATAGTTTTAAAATGCAAAAGCTTGTGCCAACTAAAAAATTAATTTGCTAAAAATTCTAATTTCTGAATTTCTTCATGGAAGCTTTGTAATATATAATAAATATATGTATATACATTATATAAAACTATAAATTTATAATGTAAATCAAATTCATAGATATAAACAAATATATGAAGTTATAAACATTTTATATATTTCTTACTTATAGATATGCAAAAATATATAAACAATAGTTTTGTAAACTGCATTTCTAATGCATTTCATATTACGTATTTATTTTTGCATATTTACATTAATTTATAGTATAGAATTGATTAAAAACTGCTTTTACTATTGATTATTTAATAAACTAAATCAGGCAAGGGAAATACTAGTCTAGACTAGAGACGTTATACATTTTATTCATTATCCACATGCAGCCTTTAGTATTATATTATATCAGAAGTACTTTAAGATCTCAGGTTGAATTTACCTTTGCCTCGAATATTTTTTTTTTCATTTTTATATTTTCTTATGCGGGTGCTTCAAGAATATAAAAAACGCAAAAAGACTTTTGTATATCGTACGATTTTGGCTGCGACCAATTGCAAACGCATTCGAATTTGATTTGTTGGCAGCCGTTGGCAGCGCGTTGCCTTGGCCGAGAGTAAGATGCGATTAGCTGCTGTAGGTGGGCAGAGGCAGCAGCCGAGACAGGTGGTGCGGCAGGTAGGCAGCTAACAGCGCAATGGCTGAGAGTCAAGTGCTGGCGCCTCCTACAACGTCAACGTCACCACCATTCTCAAACACACACACACGCACACACACACATATTTACAGAGAACACACCACACACCTGTGTGACATGCGCACGCGAACAGGTAGAACATGTCGGAGCTGTCTCCGTCTCCGTTCCACTTGCTGAAAACCCGGTTAAACCTGTTCGAGCTGCTGCTGCTGCTGTTGCTGGGCAAATGGCAGCGGTTGGGTTCCATTGATTGATTGTGTGGTTGCAATATGGGCATTTCCCATTCTGAAGATTTCCATTTCGGTTTTCTCGAAATCCGAATTCAATTGATTAAACAGCCAATCCAAGTGTAAACAAAACATTAAACTGTCAGTGGGCGAAGCTCATCAACGCCCCGACTAAAGTGAAGGTGTTAACAAATGCACCGCAGCTAGGGAAATTCATTTAAAATAGCTTCGATTTTATTTGGTTGGCAATGGGAAATGGAAAATGGAAACTGGAAAGCGTGCTACGAAAATGAGCTAGAAATTTATGGCGCAATTTCATTATAGCCACTGCCCACGTTCATGTCTCACGACTCACGTCTGTCTGGGTGCCCGTCTACAAGCATATTCACATTCACATTCACACTCGCATTCACACTCACATTCACACTCACTTTCACATGTGAATTCACATTTCAAAGCTGTGACAATTAATAAGCAGCGCTAAACATACGGATTAATTGCACATGTTCGCAGTGGAGGGCAAGGGAAAGGGAAAGGGAAAGGAAAAGGCAATCACTGCATAGCTAAATAGCTAGAACGAGGGCAGTTTCTTTACTTGTCAGCTATTGCTATGATTTATTAGCTATCCCTGTGATATGCCATAAATCTGAAAATGTTGCCATTTACAATGATTGATTTCAGCCAAAGCATTTAGAGAATCTTTAGAAAGATGCATTGCAATAATAGATGAAAACATTTGAATGAAATTTGTTATAGAAATATACGAGAATGTTGACCATGTATTGGTTGTTGTTAATAATGATATTGTGAATAATAATAACAAACGAGAAACATAATAAAAGCAGAATATTTTAAGATGTCTTAAATAATGGTATAATAATAAATAATTAAATAATAAAAAATAATTATAATAGATATATATCTTAGGAATCTATATTAGTGTAAGAAAATCTGAAAAGACTCATAAGTCTGTCAATAAGTTAAGTCTATAATAATAAAATATTGTATATACATATATAAAAAAAAAAATTGTTATAGAAATCTCCTTAAAATCTTTAACATTTCCGAGCTTATGCTATTCAGAGAAACTTTCTTAAAAATTTAGATGATTTTTATGAATCTTAAAGTGCAGATATTTTTTGCTAGATATACATATATCACTAGATTCTAATTTACCTATTTTGCTATAAATATTTGTATACTTGAGCTATATCTTATTTTTTAAATTTCTAAATTTTTCGCAAAAATCTGTATTTTTCCCTATACTTTTTCTATATCTCTATATTTTAAATACTGTCAATACACTGAAATAATTTATATAGAAATTTTTATAGCACAATAAAATTTGATAATCGACGCAAGATTTAAGAAACAACTCTCGGTCGCCGGTGCGCCAGGCCACACAATAAATTATAATTTATGGGCATTTAAGTAGCGGCCCCTGCGTTTCTTGCCGTGTAAAGTGGGCCGTTGTAGGTGGTAGGCGGTAGGCGGCAAGCGGCAGGCGGCAGGCGGCAGGCGACTAAAAGCCAACAGAAAATGGGCGCAGGCTAATCGATCGATCAGGCACAGGTTGCCCCATATGCTTATATGAACTACTACACACAAAGATACAAAGATACAAAATGTATCTTTGCTTCGCTTTTTTTCCGGTTGTTTGTTGTTTGTCTGGGCCGCCTTTTGATGTCACTGGGCAGCTGCGGCCGCGATGTGTATTAATCGCTGCTACATTGAAAACGCTGTTCGCTGCTCGCTGCTCGCTGCTGCTAGCTTCTCCCTGGCCTCGGCCCGCTCTCTTCTCTGGGCGAAACTCGTTTGGTTTTCTTTTTGGGGCGTGTGTTTGTCGCGTTTCGAAATTGCTCCAAAATGTCATAAATCAAAAATTTTGTTAGCCCAAAACACCAGAGCTAAAAACCTGTCTGTCTCCGTGTTATCACCTACACACAAATTATGTATTTGGTAACGCCCCTACCTCCCTCCCTCCCTCGTTCCGGCGCACCGCCCCCGCCGACCGACGATACCTGACATTCGGTCTGCCTCGTGCAACAGTAAATCAATGCTGAAAGCTCTGCTAATTTCTTGACGTCCAGCTTTATATTCTCATATATGTTATATGAACACGATTTGGTTTTTGGTTCTTGTTTATGGAAATTGTTGCTTGTTAATATAATATTATGATTATATTTTTATTTACTTTTAACTTGACAGAATATTTCGGCGGTTTCCTGTAGTTTCGGGGCCAAGCAAATCAGCATAAGTTTGTCTTGGCCTTTGTCTAAATATTAATATATTATATTAATAATAAAAATTTTATAATGCATACAATCGATTCTGCTTTTAAATATCAGCTTAATATAAGAAGATTGGATAATTGTCATCAATATTTATCGTGTTATCGATCAACGCTCTATTTATCGATCTTATTAGCTTACGCGTTTAT